GCCTCCTTCACATCCTGGGAGCGAGAGCTGGTCGAGCCATCCCTTCTCTGTCGGTGGCGCGACCTGCGCTGCAAGATAAGGGGCGCCGCTTAGTGCCAAACTTGCTACCTGCTGCGCGCCGCGCGAGGCGATGTACATCATATGATTTCCATTTCCTCCACTGCTCCCGCATCTCATTGATAGTTCTCTCCTGATATGCCTTCCATCCAATATCAGTTCCCGCTGCATTTGTCGAGACGGGGCTCTCAGCACTGGCGTCGAGAACATTATTCACCGTCACACATCTGGCATTTCCCAATGCCACTCGTAGCATACCTTGGGCCCTCTTGCTTCTCACCCGTGAAGTACTCTTCTCAAATTTCCATCATCACTCCCTCAAATTGTGGCCACAACGCACCAGGCAGCGTCCTCGACGCCAGATCCCTCATCAGCTCCTCATCGTGTTGCAATCGTTCTTCCACAGCTAGTATGTAATCGTCGCGCACAGCTGAGCCATGGAATACCTCGAACAATGCTCCCCCGTCCCGTTTTGTAAGTGTTGTTGATCTCTGAGCCGTAGTCCAGGCAGGTCGTTGGAATTGTGTGCAGGAACGTGTGGTCTCGTCGTACTCTGGTGCCAATCAACTGTAGTTGTCGCGATAGCTGCGCCAGCGTCCCAGCACTGGTACACCCCAAGCTGGTCGGTACACACACATAGTCAATAAGAGTCTCCACACCACCTGCTCCATACCAAATAGATTGACCAAGATCTGCATTGCTGGCCGTCATCTGACGGCTCTCCAGCAGCTCTCGTTGTAACTGTCCCGCCAAGTGTTCCGTCCGCGCACCCATCCCTCCAGTAGCTTCTGTTGGAATATTCATTCACCTCGGTGGTGGAGCAACTCCCATGCCATCATTCAGCCCGTGCACAATATGGGGACGCTCCTGTTCGGTGTTTTCCTCAATACATCTGCGATCCAGTCGATGAGGCCCAGCACCGCGCGGTCATACTCAGCTCCTAACTGCGAGACCGCTGCCAGCAAGGGCCTGTCCTGGGACTGTGATACGTCGGATCTGTCGCTGTTTTTAGCTTGCACCCAGACGTCATAGTGATATCCGCAGAACTGTTTGTATACTGGCCAGGGCACCATCCACCTTCTACCTGCCATCTTCGCCCAAATCGTCGCTGCTGTACTCGTAATCGGGCACGCTGTGTCGTCCCAATCAGTGTAACACAATCGAAATTCTCACACGCCAGATTGATAGCTTCCTGTCTGTCACGTCAAAAACATGAGAGGGGATTGTAATGTCCGCATCGCCATACATGTGGTACTAATTGCGGTGGCGTCGCGGGTGCCCCCATCTCCCTCGAGCATTTCTCCAACTTCAACTGTAGGCATACTCCCGCTGCCATTATGGCCACCAGCCGCCTGTGTGGGACATCGGACCTGACACGTCATGGAACAAAAAACATGCTGTGAGGTCTATGGCCGCCCTGCAATGCTGAAGCCGTGGCGGCGGCTGACGGGGGTGGATGAATGAGGGAGGAGGATGAAGATGCGGAAGGTGGAGCAGGACGGAGGAATAACTAACGAAGAAAGCGAAACGCTCGAGACACTGGCTTAACACTCCGATGCGACCATGCAAACTCCCAACCCCAACAGGACGGACAGAGAGGAGAGGAGGAAAAAGAGGAGGAGGAGGAGGTTTGAGGATCCTGATAGGTTCCTGTCATCCAGAATCCCCAGGGCGGCTCTTGTAGGTTTGCCCTGGGGATTCTGGATGATAGGAACAAGCAGCGACACCGACTCCCGAATTTCACCCTAACTGCATTTGAGGCAACTTATACCAGAGGAGCGATAATGATGACCCCAACATGTGAGACTCTGACTGAGTGGTCCTTCAACATGTCTCCCCCTTCTATATATCACCTCCTCCTCCTCCTCCTCCTCCTCCTCCTCCTCCTCCTCCTCCTCCTCCTCTTCTCTCTAACTATCCGACAAAGACATGCACAACAAATATGTGGCCCGCCTGACATTGAGACGCATGCCGGATTAGGGCCCCGGCCTAAAGATCCACCGATGTTTGTACCCCGACTCTCCTCTGCGAAGGGGGATATGGTCAAGTGGAACAGAGCCCAAGGTCACGCTAACGGCGATGCTGCTTGACGGTGATGTTGGAACTGTAGGGAATCACGCATTACACTTTCCTACATTTCTGATCTGGGCATGTATCGAACGAAAACGACACTGCGCCGCGCACGGTCGCGCGCGCCGAAGTCACTTTGGAAGTGCTTTCGGGGCGGCACAGAGCGCGACAAAAACATCGGTGTTTGCGTGCCGATGCATTTTTTTTGCGGAGTTGGGCGCCCTGGCGCGGACGGCCGAACGACTCCTGCAGCGGGACACCTTGGCAACGCGGTCGCCGCCGCAAAAACTGCCCGTTCAACGCTGGCGCCGCGCAAAGGCGGCGCCGAACACAGCGAATTGAAGGACAATAAGAGCCGCGCGTTCCCACAATACCGAAACCTACATCGCCGTTACCTGCATCGCCGTTACCTGTATCGCCGTTACAGCGGCGCCTCTAACGTCCTGTGGAAAACGATCCCAGATTCCAAAAGCTCGCACGCCACGCCAGACGCACAAACGGCTGCACAGACAAGACGGCCGTCGTCTTGGGACGGAGCCATCAGTGAACCCGGTCGAATTCACGAACTGAGCACAATGTGCTCCCGTCGAGCGCCGCAGTGCTATCCGCATCACGAAAGCGAGATCGCCCTCGAGTGCCGTCCCACCACTGCAGGCATTGCTCGAACAGTCTCCCAGCACCCACAGTACGGTCCAACCCCTGGATATGTTAATGAGGGGGACGTCCTTGGAATCGGCGGCGGTGCACCGCCGATTCCAAGGAGGAGGAGGAGGAGGAGGAGGAGGAGGAGGAGGAAGGGGGAGGGGGGAAGAGGGGAAGGGAGGAGGAGGAGGAGGAGGAGGAGGAGGAAGAGGAGGAGGAGGAGGAGGAGGAGGGGGAGGAGGACGAGGAGGAGGAGGAGGAGGAGGAGGAGGGGGTTGAGGAGGGTGAGACACGTCGCCTTGGAATCGGCGGTGCATCGCCGATAGATCGGCGCTGGGGCCCGGAGAGAAGCCGTATGATCCCGTGCGGGGTGAGCGTTCGGGCCCCTTTCGGCGACGGATGGGCGGTTCGGGGTCGATGCATCCCCCACGAGCCTATCCAGGCTAGGTCTTCAGAGCCCCCTCCCAATAGCTGGAAACTCACTATCTTTTCGGCGACCTGATTGACCGACTGGCGTCCCACCAATACTGGAAAATAAAATACATATCTCTCCGCGGCAACCGCCGCACAACAACGACGGCGACGACGACGACTGCGATTCCGTCCTTCCTCCTCCTCGTCCTCCTCCTCCTTCTCCTCCATAAGAGTAAAACAAAGAAGAAGCAGGAGGATGACGAGCAGAGGGACGAGCAGGAGTAGGAGAAGGGGGGAGGAGGGGGAGGAGGAGGAGGAGGAGGAGGAGGAGGAGGAGGAGGAGGAGGAGGAGGAGGAGGAGGAGGAGGAGGAGCAGGAGGATGGGCGAGTCTACCTCCCGCCGACAGAAGCAAGGGGGGGCAACAACTAAAGACCTCCCTGGGCTCTTCCCCACCCAGCGTTGCCCATGACTCGACGAGAATCCCGAGACGCTCACGCGCCCGATCCACAGCGCGGAGGACTGCCGTGGCCCCCGCGCGCGAAGGCTGCACGCTGGAAACGCGTGCGGCCACCCGTGCTGCCCGGCTCTCGCTCGGGGCTGGCCACGCAGCGTGGGTGCAGCCCGCAGGGTGGAGGAGGGAGGACGCGGGAGCCCGGGCAGCAGAAAGCAGCGGTCGCACTCAGGAAACGCGATCACCCCACACGGAGATGTGCACGCCTGGAAGTGGAGTGGGGGTCTTCGACGCGCACGCTCCATCGGGCTGCTGAACCCGTTCGAGAAAAAGAAGCGGGCATTGTGAAGGACACGATCCAAAGGTAGACGCAGAGACGCACCAAGAATGCAGATGCTGGAGGCCCCAGTCGAAGACATCCTCAGAGAACGGCCCAAGTCCCAAAACCCTGCGGCCACCCCGCATCCCCACCGACTCATTACACGGTGTCGTCACCGCACCGCCTGGGGGCCACCGAATTACGGCCCCGCGTGGCTGGGGCACAACAAGATACCGATACTGGTACGCCTCCCAGACCTCTCCCAGTGCGCGTTCCGACCGGAATGTCGAGGATCCAGCCGTGGCGACGAAGAGCTCTCCAGAAGGAGCAGCGGCATCGGCACCTTCTTCTCCTCCGAGTGGCTCCCAACGCCAGGCTAGCTCGAGGGCACTGGCCGGCCCAACGCCCCCGAGAATCGCCGCCGCCCCACCGCCGCCGCACGTGGACTCCCCAGCTGCTGTTGGCGCAGCGCCTCCCGGACAGCTTTCCAAGTCGCGCTCGGCCGCACCGTGGCGACGGGAAACACACAAGCGAGGTCCAGAAGCCTCCAAAACGGACACCGCCGCCGCCGCCGCCGCCACCGTCGTCGTCGTCGTCGCCGCCGTCGTCGCCGTCGTCAAGGTCGTCGTCGTCGTCGTCGTCGTCGTCGTCGTCGTCGTCGTCGTCGTCGTCGTCAAGGTCGTCGTCGTCGTCGCCGTCAAGGTCGTCGTCGCCACGGTCGTCGTCGCCGCGGTCGTCGTCGTCAAGGTCGTCGTCGCCACGGTCGTCGTCGTCAAGGTCGTCGTCGACAAGGTCGTCGTCGCCGCGGTCGTCGTCGCCGCGGCCGTCGTCGCCGTCGTCGCCGCGCCTCCCTCGGGGATGGACAGAACCCCCTTTAGTAAAACGTGGACCAGTGAAAACGACCTCGGGCCCAAACCCGACGGGCGCAAGCCTGGAAAAGGACGGCCGCGGCGCTTCCTCGAGGAGACCGAAAACGGACACTTCACCAATCGACGTGTCAGGGTAGGAGGTCTGTCCACCCCCGACCCCCGGGCGGCGGGAGGCGCCTTTCTGCGCCCGTGGCCCGCCAGCTTGCCGCGCCTGGCGCGCTTCGGGCGGCCGCGGGCCCTCGGCGCGCCCCGGCCACCGCGGGGGCCGCCGACGCGCTGTCCGGCGACGCTCGCGGCGCCTCTGCGGTGCAGCGGCGACGTCGGCGGTGGATCGGCGGCGTCTGACCAAGAAAGAACAAGCAGCCCCAGTCCCTTCATCGCGGATTCACCGGGGGCCCGAAGGTCGGCCAGGGACTCCGGGGGATGGCCTGCGTGCGTCGCTGGCCCCTTGGTCAAACCCTGCCCCGAAATCTCCCTCCCCGAAGTCTCGAGGACCCTGCGCTTTGTTTTGGCCCTCGCATCTTCGGCATTGAGCGTCTGTTTTGAGCTAGTGAACGTCGGCGTGGAGGAGATCGGGCGCCGATGCATCGCCGATGCGGCGCGATCCTCCGACCCCAACAACTCGGACCCAATTCGGGAGGCTGGGCAACAGAAATCTCACCGTGAGAGATCGGGGTGCGCACAGCCTTCCCTGAGATCCTGGCGTCTCGGTCGTCTCGAGCCCGGCGTTCCCACCCAATTTCGAGCCCTGCAGCGCGTCCCTGTATTTTCGGCGATGATGGGCATTATACATGGGGGGGAGGGGCCAGGGGGGGTATAAAGTAAGGCCTCCCCCCCGCCGTGCGCACGGCGGCAGTGCCCGGAGCGCACTGGGGCGAGGGGCGTTACGATATAGGGGGGGAGGGGGGGCCGGGGGCTATAATGCCCATCATGCCCCGAACGAGACAGAAACTTGTTTGATCTGCGGTGCGAGAGCGAACCTCTTCCGCTGGAAGCTAAGCGGGACGCGCACAGCTTTAATTAACAGAGAGCACGACAGAAACACGGTCATGCCTCTGCGATGCATCGGCGACGTCGGCGATGGATCGGCGACGTCGGCGTGGAGGAGATCGGGCGCCGATGCATCGCCGATGCGGCGCGACCCTGCGCACCTCGGCGTCCTGGCCACTGTGAAGGCCGCAGGCACGACATCCGGCGACGTACGCGATGCCTCTGCGATGCATCGGCGACGTCGGCGATGGATCGGCGACGTCGGCGATGGTCGGGGGGAACGAAAAGAGGGAATCGCAAAGGTTAGGGTAGAGAATCAGCTCACGTAGCCTAGCTGATTCTCCCAGCGCCCATGCATTGAGGAATGGGCCCGGCGGCGGGGCCGAAACCAGATGCACGCAGCAGATTTCGTGATCCCCTCTTTCCCTATCCCCCCCTTTGGTTCGGCCCGAGCATCGGCGACGTCGGCGGTGGATCGGCGACGTCGGCGTGGAGGAGATCGGGCGCCGATGCATCCCCGATGCAGCGCGATCCTCCGACCCCAGCAGCTCGGGCCCCATTCGGGAGGCTGGGCACAAGAAACATCTCACTCTGGGAGATCGGTGGGCACAGCCTTCCTTGAGATCCTGGCGTCCCGGCTGCCTCGAGCCTGGCGTTCTCACCCGATTTCGAGCCCTGGGTTGTGCTGCTCCCATCGTACTTCAGGACCACATCCCAGAAATAATTTCGAGCACCCAGAGAAGTGTCGAAAGAGTGTCGAAACAGTGTCGAAACAGTGTCGGACGAGTGTCTCACAAGGCCCGACACGTGAAAACCATCGAATTTCGGTACTTTTTCTTGGCGCTCGAAATTCCTTCTGGTGATCAAGGCTAACGTAAGTTGGAACATCGTAACCCTGGGACCCTCACAGATCCCGGCTCGAAACGAGTGGCGCAGACAAAGGGAGTCCGGGGCTCCGGCCGTGATTTTCTGCACGGTGTTACAATTCTGCTCGATGCATCGGATCTCTGAAGGGGCCCTGGGACACCAAATAAATAGACACAATAGCAGGGTTCCCCATATGTTCCCATATCTTACGATTCCCCCCCAGTTCCCACATTTTCCCATATTTTCCAGGGGATCGACGATTAATTGTGTCTGTGTGTTTTCCCCTCCTGAATCTCGCGGCTCGTCGACCCGGAGCTGCGCAGGGTGCCCCGAGGCGCTGCGGGCCCGTCGACGGACGAAGCACCATCGCAGGTCACCCGTGGGCAGGCCAGTCCCGTGTCTGGCGCCCCTGCTGTATACCCCAACGCTGATCCAAGCGATCGCCGCGTCTGCCTCCTGTTCCTCCTTGGTCGCGACTTAATAGGGGGCGATATATATATAGTTACATATACATATACATATACATATACGTATACAAATACATTTACATATACATATACATATACATATATACATATACATATATACATCTATATACATATATATATATACATACATATATATACACACGTAAACATATACATGTATGGGATATATATATATATATATATATACATGTGTGTGTGGCGGGGGCGGGAGAAAGGTGCCCTTCTCGGGCCCTAAAGGCCCCCTCTGGGGCCTTGCAGGGGCCCTTCGGGGGCCCCCGAGGGCTCCTCTGCTGCAGCCCTCGCTGCCCGCCCAGCTGCTGCCCCCCCCCCACCAATGAGTCGTGCGCCCGACCTCCTCCCCGCGGGAGGAGCGAGGCAAGGGCCGCGCGCGGGGCACGCGCAGAGGGGCCCTCGGCTGTGCGCCAAGTGCTGCTGCTCCTCCTCCCCCCTCCCCCCCCTTTCCCCCCTCCTGGGCGCTCCTCCAGTAGATGGACAATATATTCGAACCCTCACACATTCGAGGGAGATTCTAAATCACCCCCGCGCCCCCGACATCAATGTTGATCTCAGCCAAGGCGGTGCTTTCGGGTTCGAATATTTCTGTCCACTCACGCCCCCCCCGTCGCCACGCCATCAATATTAAATTCGGGGGTTCGGGGGGGCATCTTGGGCCACAGAGTTCGAATATAATGTCCATGTACGGTCCCCCTCACCCCTCCCCCTCCTGGACTCCTCCCCGCTCCGCACGCCCAGGTAGCGTGACCAAGTCCTGCCCCTCCCCGCGGGGAAAGCCGGGGGCCCTGCTGTGCTCGACGACCGGGGAAGCAGAGAGAGAAAGGGCCGACCGGCGGCGGGGTGGGCAGCCGAGAGGAGGAGGAGGAGGAGGAGGAGGAGGAGGAGGAGGAGGAGGAGGAGGAGGAGGAGGAGGAGGAGGAGGAGGAGGAGGAGGAGGAGGAGGATACACCCTCTTCCAGTTCTTCGTCCTCCCTCTCCTCTATTAAGGGATACGTTGCCCTCTATCCGACCGGTGGCGGGGTGGACAGCTGAGAGGAGGAGGAGGATACACCCTCTTCCAGATCTTCGTCCTCCCTCTCCTCTAATAGGGGATACGTCGACCTCTATCCCAAGCTTTGCAGGGTTCTCGAATGGACCAGAAGTGCGGGGTCCGGCCCTGGGATATGCGATGGGGGCGGCGTCTGTCCTCGATAGGGGTGCGTCCGAGTAGCCCCCCTGGGATGTATCCCACGGTCTCCCTCCCTTCCTGAGCGGCTTCATGTTTCGTTGAAGAAATCATGAGTTGGGGGAGAAGAGTCGCCTGCGATCCTCCTCCTCCTCCTCCTCCTCGTGCTCGTATGCGGGTTCTTATTCTTGGTCATGATGCCTGTTGCTCCGATCGGGACTTTCTTTCCTAATGCGGCAACCACCACCGCCCAGCAGCCTCACCCTGCCCTCGCTCCCCCTTTTGCCCGTCCTCCCCCCTATACCCCTCCCTGTCTCTCTTCTCCTCCCCTCTCAAACTACCAATGGGGATTGGGGGCAGAGCGAGGTGCATCAAGTCGTACGACGCCGATTCTGGCTCAAGCCAAGATGATCGCGTTGCAAACTGTGGCCATCTTCCTCATAACCGCTATCAGAGCGCTGTCTGCAACCTCTGCGCGTGGGCAGTGCTTCGCGTTCCAGCTGCACAAGCAGGTGGCGACATTCGAACCCTATCCCCACCACCCCTAGATTCTCCCGAATCGATGGGAGGCGGGGCCAAGGGCTAGGGTTCGGACTTCGCCACGTATTCGACGAATTCCGAACCCTCCCCACCCCGCCCATCGGGTTGCCTGAATCGTGGATTGGCGAGGGTGAAGGGGCCCCAGGACACACAAATAAATACACACAAATAAGAAAAATCCACATATATACAGATTTCCATATTTTCTGGGTTTTGGTCTTCCCCCCCACTTCCCATATTTTCCCATTCTGGGGATCGACGATTGACTGTGTCTGTGTGTTTCTTTTCCTCCTGAGAGGGTAGGGCTCGGCTCTCGCCGCCGAACGAGCCCAGCCCTTCGGCCCCATCTGGGCAGCCTGGAGCCTCCCTTCGCCAGGAACGGGCGACGGCGCCCAAGCAGGACGTCGGACCTGGCCGCCGGGAGCGGCGCGCGAGCCCAGGGGCCACGACTAGCGAGGCCGCTTTAGCTCGCGCGGCGAGGCCGCAGAGGCCGCGGTGGCAAGGAGGGCCCGACGGCGGCTCCGAGAGGCCACGGATCCTCCGTGTGGGCCCCGGGAAACGACGGGTTATGTTTGTTTGTTGAAGGTTCCGTTGTTCAATACTTGTGACAACGCCGCCGCATCTGTTTTGCTTTCCGGTTCCGCCGCCGTGCCCCTGTGCATGTTCCGATGCTGTGCGCGTGCTCTTTCGCAAGAGGAGCCAAGATGCTCCTAGCCGAGGAAAAGAAGGCACACGTCCGAGCGATGCCAAGCTGCGGTTCCGGTTCCAGCTCCAATTCTGGCGCCATCTTTTACCGTTTCGGTGGACATTTGTTTAGAGGTCCCATACAGTGGAGGCCTGACCGCAAGAAACCTTCCACAAGAAACCCAACCATGAGACCCCAGCACGTCCATCGATTTTGGGGGTGGAAACGTCACGCTGTCCATCGCAAAACCATCGAATCCCAAGAAACCCAGGGCACCTCGGAGGCAAGCAGGGTGTTTCTTGGCATGGGCCCCCACTGTACTCAAGATCCAGATTCTCGGAGACGGTCCAAAAGCTGCTCTGCCGCTCCCAAGGCCCGCGGAGCGCGGAGTTCTCCAAGGACGCCCCGAGAAGAGGCCAAACTCATCAAGACTTGTCTTACCGCACCGATGCGGGTCCTGCCGCCTTCGGATTCGAAGCTAAGACCTGATTAAAGCGCATGATGCACCTTTCCGATGTCTGGCCCGACCCATCACGGGGCGCCAAGGTGGGCCCATGACAGATAGCAGCGACAAGTATCGACCTACGTCGAAGCCATACCTCCGAACACTCGCTTATTGCGCAGTCTGCGTGCTCGTTTCCCCCCTGGGGGCCCGCCATGACTCCCGCTCTACGGGCTCAATCAGATGACCAGTGCAGTGACGGCTCAATAGAGAACCAGTATTATGTTCATGGGCAATCGCAGAAATACAGCGAACGAACAAACGAATTATGATGGCACGAACTGCTCCCAACGCGAAACGGACTCGCGTGACCATAATCCGTCGCTACGACCACACGCTGAACTGTAGTACACATGCGCGCACGGATGCTCCTTCCAATCGCTTGCGAACGTTCGCAAATACACATGTGCACGTGCCAACATTGAAATCGAACACTTTGGCATGAAGCAAAAGGGTCCTGAAAGATACGGACCCTACCCCCGTGAGCTTTCACCCGTTCGTCATAAAACGTTTTCTGACAATCCTGAGGCCCTTGGAGGGTCCTGGGAAACCGACAGCGGTACAACAAACGTTTGACACTGTTTCCTTCATGACCTGTTGCCTTGCACCCACACCAGTAGCACCTCACCTCTGGCCACCCTGGCGAATGTTCTCCAACGTCGAGCTTGTCTGCCCGGCCGGCGTTGTCGGTTCCTGAAGCGCCTGGCACCTGCGTAGTAGACTTGGGCGCATGCTGATCGAACGCTCCGTGCGCGCTGGCGCAGAGACGGGCAAGCCCGAGAAAGGCATAGAGAACGAATGAGACAGAGAGAGAGAGAAGGAGAGATACGAATGCAAAGGCATAAAGAGGCAATCCAGATAAGAGTGCACAATTCAAAATATGTATACACGTATACGTATACGTGTTTATGTGTGTATGTGTATACCTATCTGGAGAGATATATCGAGATATGGAGAGACATGGTATGCAATACATCTTATAAATATATATATATAGAGAGAGAGAGAGAGAGAGAGGGAGAGAGAGAGAGAGGGAGAGACAAAGAGAGAGGAGAGAGAGAAAACAAACAACGGCAAGAGATAGGGATGGAGAGAAACGGGGCGAACGAGAGAAACAGAGAGAGAGAGAGGGGGGCAGAGAGGCAGAGAGAAGCAAAGCAGACAGGGCCGACAGACGGAGCAGAGCAGAGCCGAGCAGAGCGACGGACGCGCAGACGCCCACGCACGCGCGCCGGGCGGGGCGGGCAGGACGACCCCGACGCGCCCGCTGCCCGGCCCTCGCCCACGGCCCCGCTGCCCCTGCCCCTCGGCGGCGCGGCGGGGGCGGGCGGCGGCCACCCCCGAAGGGGGCCCCGTGGGTCGCGCCTCAGCCACCAGCTCGCGGCCAGGGTGGCCGCGCAGCACGCGCAGGTGCCGAGGAAGAGCGCCCAGGCCCAGGGCGGCCAGGCGTCGGCGCGCCGCGCCTCGGGTCCGGCGGGGAGGGGCGGGCGCGCGGAGGCCGGCGCGCGAGAGAGCAGGAGGGAGCGTGCACGCGGGAGGAGCAAAGGGTACGGAGGAGCACACTCGCCATCGCTCGGACGTCCATTCCCTGCGTTTTTTTCGGTTTCGTGCGTGGTCTTTTCGCCACATGATGAAGGATGCTCCTCGAAGGTCCTCGCCAAAGGAAAAATGCACACGTCCGAGCGATGCCAAGCACACGAGAGGAGCCATGCTGGGAAGAGGCACCACAAGATAACGCAGAATGCAAACAAGTGTAACAACAATAACAAACCCGACAACACAAACCATGAGAATACTAATGCTTGTAATACTTGTAATACTTCTTCACGGAACGAACAGACATAACAAAACCAATGATAATGATAAGAAGAAGGATGACAATAAGAGCAACGAGGCAGAACGAGGCCTCAAGAGGGCACCAGGTGAACCGAGCACGAAGAGCACGATGGGAGCCCCGACGGACCCAGAAAAGGGATCAAAGGCCTTCCCCAGGGACCAACTCTTCGTCCCCGAGTGCTTCTCTGACGGCCCACCCGGGGAAAGACCGCAGGACCTGCTTCCCTCAAGAATCCAACTGCTTCACGCGCCCACGCACGACGCTCAACAACACAGGCCGACGACGGCTGCTTTGGGGCAAGCAGTTTCCGTTTCAAATAAACAACGTCCGCGGCGACGCCGAAAGTAGAGAAACAAACAACTTCATCACTCCGACGGTAAGACCCCGCATGCAAGTCCAGCAAATGAGTACGGAAGTAACCCCCATCGTCGTCAAAGTATATTTTCCTGTCTGGCATCTGCTGGTCCTCGCCGACGCTTACAAGTTTGATTCAGGATGGCCGCCTCGGAATACAAAAACCGTTCGACAAGGGAACGGGGTTCCGTGCGAGACATCTTCAATAATCAGGCACCCAGGTGCCACCGATCCTGTGATTGTACCCGGTATCCCGATGGCCGCCTCGGATTACCAACGCGAAGCAAGGGTGTCATAGGAATCGGTCTACTGCTCGAGTTTGTCCTCAGGAATCAGGCTCCCAGGTGTCATAAGGCCTACTTGTTTAGAGGCTACCCCGATGGCCGCCTCAAAATGCCAACCTTCGGTGGGGACCCCAAGAGGGGGCTCCCGCTCAAATCGCCCTCGCAATGCGCTCATAGACGAGTATCCTGCCCGACGCTTCCTCAAATCTTGAGTCTGTGAATGATTGTGAGTGTGTGTGCATGTGCGTGCGTGTTTGTGTGTATATGTGTGTGTGGTTGTGCGCGCGTGTGTGTGTGTGCCTGTGTTTCTGTGAATGCGAGTGTGCCCGATGATGCTGATGCAGATGGTGCTGATGATAAGAATGAAGGTGAAGAGAGGGGTCCGGATAATAATGAGAAACATGATGAGGATGAGGAAGATGCTGGTGATAATGGTGACAATGATGATGGTGATGGCGATGCTTGTGATGATGGTCATGATGATGGCGGGTGTGACTTTGATGGTGATCCAATGATGACCATGATAATGATGCCGGCGACAATGACGACCGTGCTGATGCTGATGGTGATGGTGATTGCGACGGTGGTGGTGATCAGTATGATGATGCTGCTGACCATGGCCATGCTGATGCTGATGGAGGCGGCGGTAATGATGATTATGAGGATGGTGCTGATGATGAGTGTGAGTATGATCATGTTGATGATCGTGACGATGACGACAACGATGAAGGGGTTGTTGCTGGTGATGTTGCTGATGTTAGTGATAATGGCGGTGGTAATGTTGATGCGGCTGATGATGAGAGTGTTGGTGGGGGTTCGTGTGCGTGTGCGCGTGTGTGCATACGGATGTACGGTGATGCTGATGATGGTGATGATGCAGATGATGACGGTGAAAATAAAAATGATGATGATGAAGAGTGAGGAACATGCTGACAATGGTGGGGGGACGGATGATGGTGACGATGATGTGGTGCTCTCTCGAGGCCATGCGAGTACCTTTCGTGCGGGATGGCGACGGTACCTCGGAAACGCAGGCTAGCCAGAGAAGCGCAAACTCGGCAAACGGTTAAATGCAGCTCAGGTGGGCGGGCGGGCCCAGGGAAGAACTTGAGCGGGGAGATACGGCCACGAGACATGCCCACAAATGCCGACAAGCCGCTGTATGTGGGGCCCTCTCGAGGCCATGCGAGCACTTTTTGCGCAGGATGGCGACGGCACCTCGAGAGCACAGGCTAGCCAGAGAAGCACAGACTCGGCAAACGGTTAAATTCAGCTCAAGTGGGCGGGCGGGCCCAGGGAAGAACTTGAACGAGGAGATACGGCCGCAACGCGCCCACAAATGCCGACAACTCGCTGTATGCGGGGCCCTCTCGAAGCCATGCGAGCACTTTTTGCGCGGGATAGCGGCGGCACCTCGAGAGCACAAGCTAGCCAGAGAAGCACAGCCTCGGCGCTATGCGCTAGTCTCCACACATGGCCCCAGCCGAACCTCTTCATTGACCAAAAACCCTATTACACCGGGCGGCTCGGGACAGCTGCCGAGCGGCTGCCACTATCATGTCAGTGCCTGCGGTGGCCACTTCAAAGGGGGGGGCCACGGGTCGAAGCACGAGCAGCGGCATCCAGCGCAGGACGCCCCAAGGCCTCCCACATGACGCTGGACACCCGCTGATGACGCTGGGGTGGCTCGTCCATGGTGCTGAATTTCGAGGTGGGCACGTTGAAAAACGCCTTGACATGGTCGACAATGGTCTCAAACTTGTTGATGCGCTGAACACGCTCCGACGCAAAGCCGCCTCCTACACGGAATTGTCGGTACCGTTGTGAATGGCCTCCATCCGCGCCTCTCAAATGTCGAGATGAAGGGCGGCAGCGCTGATGTCAGAGCCCATCTGTTCGAAACTGTTGTTGGGTGCGAGCTGATTTTCATGCATCCTCGTGTTCATGGTGTTCATCCTAGAAATGCGGTGCTCAGACCACGGTGGCGGTGCTTCCTCCGAAACCATGGCTGCTGGCTGCGGGGGGGGCGAGGACGCGAGGAAACTTGCCTGCCGAGCGAGAGAAAGGCGGGGCGCTGCACCCGCCGAGCTGCTCGAGCAAGAAAATGTGGAAAACAAAAACAGAACTAATCGAATTACCCTACCTCGTAGCTTCCCCCCGTATAGTCATGAGCCACACATTTTACGGATGGTGGTGGTGATGGTGATGGTGATGATAATGATGATGCTGATGATGATGATGAAGATGAAGATGATAATGATGATGCTGCTGCTGCTGATGATGGCGATGATGATGATGATGATGATGATGATGATGATGATGATGATGATGATGATGATGATGATGATGATGATGATGATGTTGATGATGACGACGATGATGATGCTGATGATGCTGATGAAGTGTGTGTGTGTGTGCTCGTGCGCAGGGTGTCAACACAAAACGAAAACAACACTTACGACATGAGGAATCAGCAGAAATCTGTCGGAATTCCGCGCGGATTTCTGGGATCGGCGCTGGTCCCCCCCTCCCTGGCGCGCGGAGTGCGCCAGGGCGGCGCCGGAGGCGCTGCCAGGGGGGGCCCTAGCAGCGATGCAAGAAACCCGCGCGGAACTCCGGATGTTTATGTTTATGCTGCGATTCGTTATTCGACTAACTAACACGCGGGGACAGCAAGCGACCACAACCACACCGAGGACGCACCCTGAACACCGAACCAACTTAGTACAAGTTGTTGTCGAGGTGGTCGTCCCCAGACGGCCAAATCGACCAGAACCACAAACACGATATTCATGTGGAGGTCGGTGGGTTCTCCCCCGAAGGGCCCTCCAGAAAAATCCACTTTGTTGTGGTTGTGGTTCCTTGTTGCGCCTGGAGAACACGACCTGCCGTTGGAATTCGTGCCCCGTGTTTCCGTGCCCGATCCCCCCCCCCCCCTAGGAGCACGCGCACAGCCTCAGCGGCCGCGACGAACCAAGCCCACCCTCGGCAGCCCGCGCGGGTGGCTGCAACGCAGGCTCGCACGCGTTGGATCGCGTCGTGAACAATCACGACGGTCAGTTTTTGACCGTCTTCAACCTCCGGGTGCCCTCGCCAGGCCTGGGGACCGCCACGGCCTCGGCTCGGGATGAAAACCTGCCTCTGGGGAAGGGGTCCTGATTTCTTAGGGGACCGCGCTTTCAAAAAACTGAGGACAACCTCCGGGTCTTCGCCTCGCGCCAGGAGGAACTGACGTGGGCCGTGGCGCGCAAGGCCGCCGTCGTCTTCGTCTTCGTCGTCAACGTCGTCGTCGTCGTCGTCGTCGTCGTCGTCGTCGTCGTCGTCGTCGTCGTCGTCGTCGTCGTCGTCGTTAACGTCGTCGTCGTCGTCATCGTCGGGGTCGGGCCGGGGCGGACGGGGGGGGGCCGTGGAGCCGTGAAGAACGGAGGAGCGAAACCCGCGCGCGAGAGAGCACGGCCTCCTCGCAAAACGGGCCGCCCTCCGCGCCCAGAGGAGGGAGGAGGAGGAGGAGGAGGAGGAGGAGGAGGAGGAGGAGGAGGAGGAGGAGGAGGAGGGAGGAGGAGGAGGAGGAGGAGGAGGAGGAGGAGGAGGAGGAGGGGGAGGAGGAGGGGAGGAGGGGGAGGAGGAGGAGGAGGAGGAGGAGGAGAGGAGGAGGAGGAGGAGGAGGAGGAGGAGGAGGAGGAGGGAGGAGGAGGAGGAGACCACCCCCCTCAAGCGCAGGGGGGGGCCGCTCGCTCGTGGGCGGGAGCTCACGCAGCACGGTCGAGGCACAGGCCGAGACTGCGATGCCAGACGCACTGCGGCAGCGCCGGGGACGCACCGCGGGGGGGGGGGGCAGCGGCACGCCATGCGGGGAGAGGGGCGTGACGCGCGCTGTGGCCTTCAGAGCGTAAAAACAGAACATCCTCGAAGCTCCTGGAAGAGGCCGTGACCCCCATGGCTGGAGAGAGCGATCTTTACTCCAGCCCCGGCCGCCGCCCCCCCCCCCCAGGTAACCTTGGGTCGGGCATGCACCCCTACAGGCGGATTGTGGACGAGAACTGAAACACAGCCAGCAAACATACTCAAACAATGGTCGAGACATCAGTCCCAGGCTATGTTCGGAATTCTTCTTGAATATTCCTCCTGTGGAGTGACACGCCCGACTCAAAGGTAACGTCACGATCCGTGCTGACCACCGAACTGTCTCTGGCTGTCCCAAGACACTCCCGGACGGCGCTGGCGCGAAGCGTGGCGTTGCCGGCACCCCCCGTCGCCATTCCTCCCACTATCGTTAGGTCGGGGATGTCCTCCTACAGGCAGAGTTTGGACGAAAAACTCAAAGTACTCTAAAAATGCCCAGTCAACCAATAATCGAAAAATCGTGCCCAGACTATTTGTTTACTATTCTTGAATATTCCTCCTGTAGAGGGGCGTGCCCGACTTAACACTATCGCCCAGGAGTGGAAAAGAAAACGCTCCGCTGTCGAACACCACCGTGCCTCTGGGCACAGGGGGGGCGTGTCCTCGAGTCCTTTGCCTCATCCCCGGAGCCCCAGCCTTCAATCCTGAGGATTCTTGAGGGGCCAGGAACCCAAATTACCAAATCTACAGGGGCTTGCAAGCGGCTTGCCGCGTCGGGTCGGGGATCCGGCGCACCTCCCCGCGAGACTTTCTCGAGCCCAGGAGGGCCCCAACACGAGCCCAGAGGGCCTCAAGAGGGCACTCAAGACGGTCCAAGAGGGCCCCGAGTCGCCGAGCGATCGCCCCAAGACGCTCAAGATGGCCTCAAGACGGCCCCAGAAGCCTCCAAAATGCTCCAAGACGCCTCCGAAGCGGGCCAACAAAAAGCAAGCATCGCATACTTTACTCTAGTTTTTCGACTAATTCTGGCGTTCTCGCCTTTTCGGCTTCCCGCCGCCCCAATGAGGCCGAAAAAGGGAAGACGAGAAAAGGAAGGGTAGTGGTATGGGAACTTTTAGGTCGGGCATGTCCCCCTACAGGCAGATTGTGGACGAAAACTTAAAAAGACTCAACAAATACATCAAACATGTTCAAAAACACATCAATCGCCCCCAGGCTTTTCTTCTTCTATTTTTGAGCATTCCCCCTGTAGAGGGACAGGCCCGACTTAAGGGTACCCTTTCTTCCTCTGACTTGTCGCTCGCGACTGCTGGCGACCCCCCGTAGCCCTGCCCGAGAGACGAGTGGCAACGATAGGGGGGGAAAGCATCGACTCGGAATCGGCAATGCATCGCCGATGCATCGGCGACAGGCCCGAGATAGTGACTCCGCGCCTTCCTGTGCGGGGTGGAGGCTATCGGGCCCCTGTGGGCGATCAATGGGCGATTCGGCGGTGGACAAAGCTCCCTTGAGTAAACCACCCTTTAGTGAAAACGACCTAAGACCGAAACCAACGGACCTGGACCCGCAACAAAAACTTGACGGCCGCGACGCGCTTTCGCGCACCGAAAACGGCTAACTCGCTAATTGACGTGTCAGGGTAGGAGGTCGATCAACCTCCGAGAGATAGTGACTCCGCACCTTCCTGGGCGGGGTGGAGACTGTCGGGTCCCTGTGGGCGATCAATGGGCGATTGGGGGTCGATGCGCCCACCCCTGAAGCCGCCCTGAGCCCATCCCTCTCTCGCGTCGTCCCTCAAGCCAGCCTATCCCCGCTCTGAGCTCCTCCCCGCGCTGAGCCCATTCCCACCCCACCCCCCGTATCGTTGCCCCCCGAGAAAGGCAAGCCCACGGCGCCCCGCCTCGCCCGGGGGCTCCGGCTCCGGGCTGGTGCTCACGGGGCCAGGCCCGCGTCGGGGGCGGAGGTCGACGCTGCCTCCCCGTCGAGGACGGAGGAGCGGGGGGGGGAGGGTGACGGGAGGAGGAGGAAAAGGAGAAGGAGGAGGAGGAGGACGAGGAGGGGGAGGAGGAGGAGGAGGAGGAGGAGGAGGAGGAGGAGGAGGAGGAGGAGGAGGAGGAGGAGGAGGAGGAGGAGGAGGAGGGAGGAGGAGGAGGAGGAGGAGGAGGAGGAGGAGGAGGAGGGGAGGAGGAAGAGGAGGAGGAGGAGGAGGAGGAGGAGGAAGGGGAGGGAGAGGAGGGGGAGGAGTGGAGGGGGAGGAAGAGGCCCTCGTTGTGCAATGGTCCCATCTCGCGCTGCGGCTCGCTCGATCGGGCCCCGAAGGCGTCAAACGAAACGAGGAGGAGGAGGAGGAGGAATGGAAAGGATGAGGAGGAGAAGGACAAGGACGAGGAGAACGAGGAGGACGAGGAGGGGAGGAGGGGTGGTGGTGATGGTGGTCACTGCAAAAGGGAAACAAGTCCTGAGCAGAGGAACGCGCACCAAGTCCACGACGACGCCGACGACAACGACGACGACGGCGGAGACGAGGCGCGCAGACGATCCGCACCGAAGCACGGATTTGGGAAAGGGCCCACCCTGCAAGTTCGGTTAAACAGCACATCGTTGAGTGGTGCTGCTGCCTCCCCTGAACACATGCCCCCGCGGAACATCAGCCAGACAAATCGGGTGTGCACCCTCATGCCTTGCTGGACTCTGGGCGCGTTTCGGCACCCTCTCCGCAGTCCTCGTCGGGGCCACTGACAAAAGAGAGGGCGGCGGTGGCCAACGCGTCCCGGAGCTAAAAAGCTCAAAGCGCCGCGGCTCCGAGAACCAAGAAGACTGACAGACACACCGACAAACGGACGGACAAACGGACAGCCCGGCGGCGGACGAACGGACGAACGGATAAACGGACGAACGGACAAACGAACGGACGGACAAACGGACAAACGGGGAGGAGGGGGAGGAAGAGGAGGAGGAGGAGGAGGAAGAGGAGGAGGAGGATGAGGAGGAGGAGGATGAGGAGGAAGAGGGGGACGGGGAGGGCGAAGGGGAGGAGGGGGAGGAGGAGGAGGAGGAGGAGGAGGAGGAGGAGGAGGAGGAGGAGGAGGAGGAGGAGGAGGACGAGGAGAGGGGTGAGGAGGAGGAGGAGGAGGACGAGGAGGGGGGTGAGGAGGAGGAGGACGAGGAGGAGGAGGAGAAGGAGGAGGAGGAGAAGGGCGAGCACGAGGAGGACGACGAGAGGATGATGATGGTGATGATGATGCTGCTGATGGTGAGGACGAGGAGGGCGAGGAGAAGGAGGAGGAGGAGGAGGACGAGGGGGAGGAAAACGCGTTTTTAACACGCGTGCTCAGGCGTGCGCAAGCTTTCCAGGGGTCTCGGCACCCTGGGCGGGCTCGCTCCGCGCGCGCCCGCAGCAGGGTGGGCCCGCGGCCTCAGCACACACCCTCTCTGCCTCGCCCGTCGCTGCCGACTGCAGCGAGTCGCAGCTCCCATCGGGCGGCGGCAGCGTCTCGTGTCTCTGCTGCTCGCCGCGAACTCAGAGCTCTGCTGAGCTCAGAGCGTCCCGTGTCTCTGCTGCCTGATGGACGGCCGCTGCCGCTCCTCGGCTCTTCGCTCCTCCAAGGTGCGCTCTGTCGGCGGCACCCTTGGCCCGTGGGGCTGCTGGGCCGTCTCGTTATGGGCGCCGCGCGCCCCTCTGGACTGCTAGCCGCCATGGGCACAGGGCCCTCGTTCAGCTCCCAGGCTGACGTCCTCCTCACTGGCGTCCTGCTCGACTGCCTCTGGCGTGCGCCGCTGTGGCCCAACCCCTCGCCGCGCCGGGGTCCACTGCGGCCTGACCCTTCGCCGCGCTGGGGATCGCCGTGGCCTGGCCCCTGGCCACGCTGGGGACCGCTGCGGCCTAACCCCTCGCCGCGATGGGGTCCGTTGTGGCCCAACCCCTCGCCACGCTGGGGCCCGTTGCGGCCTAACCCCTCGCCGCGCTGGGGTCCGCTGTGGCCAAACCGCTAACCCCTCGCCGCGCTGGTGTCCGCTGCGGCCTAACCCCATCACCGCGCCGGGGCTCGCCGTGGCCTAACCCCTCGCCGCGCTGGGGACCTCCGCGGCCTAACCCCTCGCCGCGCTGGGGGCCCGCGTGGCCGAACCCCTCGCCACGCTGGGGTCCGCTGTGGCCTAACCCCTCGCCGCGCCGGGGCCTGCTGTGGCCTAGCCCCTCGCCTCGCTGGGGACCGCTGCTTCCTCCATTGCCGTCGTCGTCGTCGTCGTCGTCCACTTGCGGGTCCACGCCGAGCGCTGTCTGCGCCATCTGCCTGCGTCGCGCCGCTTCCTCAGGGTCCTGCTGCTGGATCGCTCGCCGCGCCGCGCCGCTGTTCAGCCATGCGAGGCGGCATATCTCCTCGGCCGCTGTGCGCTGGCTGCGCTGGCGTGCCTGGCCTGGGGTGTCGCTGAAAAGGCGCTGGTAGAGGCCCGTCTGCAGGGTCTTGAGGACGCGGGGTACGCGCGCTGCCTGCCGCGCCCTCCAGCCTTGTCCCTCCGCTCCTTGGATCCAGCACCCTGCCAAAGACTGCGCCAGCTGCTCCAGACGGTTCCACTCGAGCCACGCGAGTTCCCTCTCTGGGTCCGGATCTTCAGCGCCTCGATGCTGGCGGAGCCCGGGGTGTTGCATGCCCGCGTCCTTCGCCTGCTGCGCGCGCTTCGTGAGGCCTGGCACGGGCGACTTGGCCAGCTGAGCCCATTGCATCGTGGCACATACTTGGACCAGGGGCGCGTCGTCATTGAGCGGCTCGGGCCCAGGGATAGTGTCCATGTCCTGGTCCCTCTCTGCTCCTTCCAAGTTCTGGAACTTCATTGTCTGGGACTGAGTTGTCGTCGTCCAAGTTCTCTGGCGTCCAGGCCCGATTCCCTTCCGTGGTGCTGGGAAGTGGCCTCCTCTCACTGCTGGGGGTGCTGTGCGCCAGGATGTTGCCCCTCCTGCCCTGGAAGGCCTCCATGCGCGCCCTGGCTGCTAGCTGCCTGGTCCCGTGCGGGGGGGGGGGGCATGTGCGTCATAAGCCTCCTGCGCGCTCTGTGCCTCCATATGTCCTCGCAGAAGTCCTTCAACTGCTGGAACTCCTGCGGCGTCACTGCCCTTGTCTGCTCTTCGATGGCCGCCCTGCCACCTCCGTTGGTGACCGCCATGAGGCAGGGGGGAGGGGGGCGAGAAGGGGAAGGAGGGGGAGGAGAAGGAGGAGGGGGGACGAGGGACGAGGCCTGGCGCAGCCGTCCGCCTGGACGAACAGCTGGCGGCACGGCCGAGGCGGCCAGTCCTCAGGCGAGGGCGAGGACGGCGTCCACCACGAGCAGCTCCGCGGGCCCGCCCCCGAGAAGCGGGCCAGACCGGCCATCGGCGTTGCCGAGGACGCCGCTCCCGCTGCACTCCCCTAGGGAGCCAAGCGGGCCGTAGGGTGCTGATGGTCCTCGCAAGGGCGCGGAGGACCCAGCGCAGGATGAAGCGCGCGGAGTTGCCATCGAAGAAGTGGGCGAACTCGCTGCGCAGAACATGACGTGGTCAAACACCTCCGTCATGAATTCGAGCCAGCCGCAGCACGAACTTCGCGGCCTGAACCACACAGTGGATCAGCGCGGGGCACATGCCCCGCAAGACCTGCAGGCAGTCCAGCAGCCGCTTCGTCGCGTGCATCAGCGACTGGCGCCTGCAACGTGAGTGAAACGTTCTCCTTCGGGCGTAGGCCTCGCATGAGCCGCTTCCTCCTCGACTTGAAGTTGGAGGGGTAGGCGTTCCCCTTCCCCTCTCCAGTGGGCGCTCCTCCGCAACAGGCCATCAGCTGCTTGGCCACGCCTCCGCCCGACCATGCCGCGCACACCTCGCAGAAGACGGCGGGCCCTGCGCGACGGAGACGACGCCCGTTGCAGACGCGCGCGTCGGTGGAGTGCCATTCGGAGACCAGCAGCTCGGCAGCGCGACCCAGGCCAGGCATGGTCTCCGACCCTCGACCTCCAGCGTGCAGCTCCCAGCCTTCGCCATGTGACTCACGCTCAGCACGACCAAGAGCGTCCATGGCAAAGGCACAGCAGAGATCTGGACTCTGGTGGCACCACAGAGCTGGGTCATGGCCTCCGCACGCAGCTCGTCGACTCTGTTGGCCAGGCACGGGACGCGAATGTAGAAGTTCCACGCCTCCGTTGACCCCGAACTGGTTCGTCTCGCACAGCGCCTGCAGACAAAAGGAGCCATCTCGCAGCTTGGCAACGACGTGAAACGTGACCTGCACGGGCGGCTGTTCGACCCCCTAGAGGCGCAACGGTGCGTCCGACACGTCTGGCCCCCACCTGCCCACCTTCAGGGCGCGCTGCGTGGCCCAGCCGGTGCACGAGGCAACCTTCTTAGTGAACGCGGTCTCTGCCTTGTAGATATCCTCGTAGACCTTGGGCGGCGCGCGTGAATCTGCACCGCGCCTGGCAAACCAGTCGGCCCACATATTGCCCAGAAAATGTACTGGGCTAAGGTCGCGCCCGATGTAGTCTTCGATGCAGCGGTGAGCAGGGATCCAATGAACCCGCGGCATCCGTACTTGGGCGCGGAGGGAGCGCCAGACCGTCGCATGAGCAGCAGCCGCTCCCTCCAGTTCTGGACCCCGCGATGACGCCTCCGACTCCAGCGCCAACAAATCGGTGAGCACGAACTCCAGCTTGGTACCGAAATTCCGCGCAACCATGAGGAGCGCGAACCTCTCCGACCTGCCGAACGTCTGCAAGGGCCCTGGCAGCGGCCCGTACACAGCACGTGGCGGCCAACCCTGCGCCGACATCTGCGCAGCAGCCCATCCGCACCGTCGTATTTCTGGTATAGCCGCCGCAAACCCAGAGCCGTCAGTGTAGACAACATTGCCGAACTGCAGATCCTCGGCGCTCCAGTCGCCCCAGAAGTACGTCGGCAGGCCCGCGGTGACCTTTGGGATGGACGGCGGCACGCAAGGAAGGCAGACCCCCAC